CTGTGTGTGGTGGTCACTTGACATCTTAAGCAGCACGCGGACAGGACAGGGCAGGGCAGGACAGGACAGGGCGGCCGACCCCAAGGCGCCTGCAAAAGAGTTTCCGGTATTTTGGCTATAGCAAGCCCCTGGGGGGGAGGGTTCCTGCTGCTGCTTCTGGGCTGTTTCTGCTCCTGCTGCTGCTGCCCTGCTTCTGCTCCTGCTTCTGCCCTGCTTCTGCTCCTGCTCCTGCTTCAGGCCTGCTCTAACCTTTTAATGTGCCACATTCTCTGCTGTCGCGTCACACATAATTATGGCGGATGTGCTGTCCAACGAAGCGTTAACTCGAATTCTGTGCTCTGTGCTCTCTGCTCTGTGGCCCTGCTCTCTCTCTCTCGCATGCCAGTTGCCATTTGTGCCCTTTCATGGCTTTCAGGCCATGCATGTATTTTATTTGTTATGCATTATCATGTAGCACAGTGTGCAGAGTCCTGTCTGTTGGCTCCTGGCTCCTGCTGTAGCCCCAGAAGCTGCTCTCAGCTCAGCTGTTATTGTTGTGGCGGCTGTGTCTCCATTCATTATTATTTATGCTTTATATATTTATTTGTATTTGTATTTGTTTTTTGTACGCACTTCCGCTGCGTAAACAATAAAACTCACTCTCCTTGCGTGTCTTTTCTTTCACTTTATTCCGGCGGGGTGGTGGGGTGGGGGGTGCTCACGTCTCGTATGCGTATTATTCAAAGGAGTTTAACTTCCTGTGACTGCTGTGACCAGCTTCCATCTCATTGTTATGCTAATGGACTACGATATATGAATAATAAGCCCTGCCACTGACCACAGAGGCAGCCTGCCCCCGCCCCTTCTTTGTTTTTGTTTCTCTCTTTTCTCTTTTCTTTTGGGTGGCTTTGATTTCGCACAGATGATCCTGTGGGTCTCCAGCGTTCAGTCCGACAGTTGTCGCTTCAGTTATGCAAATACTCGACCAATACAAATTATTTCCCTGTGTCTTTGTGGCTTCTTTCTAAATTCATAAACTCTCGAGGATACACATGCGAGTGGGGTCTGCTCCCTCCCCCTCCCTAAGCCCCGAAGGGGTAGAAAAAGCCCAAAGAAAGTTTTAAGGTCCGAAAGGCAGCAGCAGCAGCAGAACACAACACGTGCCGATGCCAGCTTACGATTGGCCCTGCACAGGCGAAGAGTCGTTAAAATTCGAGTTTTATGTCCATACTTGGGGTAGGCAGGGGGAAGGCCTAACCTAACTGTTGCTGCTGTATTTGTGGCATGTTGAATGGGCATCATAAATCCCCCGCTGCCAGGATTTAATGCTCACCTTTTGTGTGTGTTTGTTGTGTTTGTTTTGTAGCTCATTTGGGCCAGTAATCTGCTGAAACTAAAACTGCGATACGCTGACCCAGTTTCTGGGTATTTTTCTTTCGTTTCGTTTTTAATATGTTTTGTCTGCGAGTGCACAAAAAAAAAAAAAAGAAAATTAACAAATTCAACACGGCATCAGCATCAGCATCAGGCAGCAGCAGAATGTTGTTTCATTCAGCAGTTGGCAGGGCAATATTTTCCATTGGTTATGACAATTCGATTTATATTACTGCCTCTAGGGGTTTTTCCCTGTTTTTCCCAGTTTTTCCCTGATTTTCTGCTGATGGTTTAGCGCTGCTTGTGCGGCCAGGGCACGTTTTATTTGTTTAAAGAACTATTAAAATGGCATAAACAGCGAATGGCATGGCGAATGGCAATCGGATGGATGGTGGGTAGAGTAGGGCATGCTGCTGGATCTGGCAATGCCAAAGTTTTATCTAGCTATGGACCCTGGTGGTGGTGGGGTGGAGCCAGCAGCTGCTGCTGCTGCTGCTGTTGCTGTTCCCTTTTGAGCCCGTGCTTGTTGGTCGTATTTGATTATCGCATTTCATTCTGTGTTTGGGTTGAATGTAGAAAGTTGAATGCAAATTTGCATGACACCAACAGAAGCGGGCAATGGGGGATGTCCAGTCCGCTGGCGGCAGAGAATGCGGCAACAATCACACCAACCAACCAACCATCATCATCATCATCATAATAATAACAAAAGCAGCAGCAGCAGCGGGAGGCAGCATCAGTGGGAGGCAGCAGCAGCGGTAGAACTTTATTTGACGCTGCTGCCCCCCCACATCTTGGCTCATTCCTTTGTGCCACCATCAACACAACAGGAGGCGAAGGAAAGGGCACAGGAAGCAGGGGGAAGTAAGGGGAAGCAGCAGCAACCGGGCTGTCAAAGTTTTTAGGTATCATTTCAGTTTATTTGAATTATTCATAATCCGGACAGCAGCGTAGGTCCGCCGCGGCATAAGAAACAAACAGCAGCAGACCCGGACAGTGGCAGTGGCAGTGGCAGGGCCAAGAACAGATAGCGGAAGCAGCAAATAAAAATCATTCATTGTAAATATTTTTTTCGCTGCGAACAACAAAAAAGAATAAACAGGCAACGCTGGAGTTTTTTTGCGGCAAACAAAAAGGGAAATGTAAGGCAGGCAGCCAGCCAGCCAGCCAAAAACCAAATTCGATTCAATCAACGGGCCACAAAAATATGAGGCATCCAAAATGGGTAAATGGGGGGAGTCCCATGCAAACTGTAAATTAAGTGAAACATTAAATATTGATGTTGGCGCTCAAAAACTGCCCAAGAAAGTCAAATACCAGATGGCAGGCACACAGAAATCCGAACCGATTCGAACTGCGGCAAATAAAACACCGAAAGTGGGGTATATATCGTGGGCTATATATCGGACCTGTTGTTCAAAGTCCTTGCGCCCCCCCCCTTTTGGCCCTTAGCTAGGCACGCCCATCATGCCACTGTTCTGTGGAGCACGCAAATGTCTTAAGAGTCGAAACTTTTAACGCTTTTAGTTTCTTGTTCTTGGCGCAAGAGTTTCTCGTCTTACTTTTCTTCTTCTTCCATCGAGCTGCTCCTCCGCCTGTTCGACCCACAATAAAAATGTGCAATAAATTGGGCAGCCAAACGAGCAAAGAGGCGGTGGGTGGATGGCTGTCTTTAGGACAGTTTTACGAGAGTCACGCGATAGTTGGCGCCCGATATAAATAGAATGCGGCGTGCCCCGAAATGATTTTAGAAATTGATTGTGGGTTGGAACACAGCAACACAGTCAGTCAGTCAGTCAATCATTCATTCCAGCCGGAAAGATAAACAGTGGCAGTGGGAGCCAGAGAATTAGCACAAAACTTGGCCCAGGGACCACATCAAAAGTTAGTTGGGGAAGCCTAATAAGGCGCCACCCACGCCACCCGAATGTCAGTGGGGCAAAAAACTTCCTCTCTCTCGGCTAGGCGTCTCTTTATCCTACTACTCCTTATTCCCTACTATCTTTCTCTAGTCGTGAGAATTCTCGACGATTTGCCAACATTTTCACTTTCACATTTGCGTGCTGCCGCTGCTGCTGCCGCTGCCACTGCCACTGTCGACGTCGCTGTCGTCGCATTGCGAATTCCTGCCAGCAGCGGGGCAAAGTTTTAGCATACTTTTCGGCGGCGGCGACAGTATTTTTTGTGCACTTGACATGTTTTGACACGCCAGCAGAGTGCACGGCAAATGGCGACGACTCCAACGGCCGCACGGCGAACATGTTTACGTTGCCCCCCCTGGAGTTTGACGTGATTTTGCGCGCCAAAAATGCAAACGCAAATCTGGTGAGCAAAAGTAGCAGCAGCAGCAGCAGCAAGCAATTTACTGAGCAAGAAAATCAAATAAAATAAAATAAAATATTATTATTATTTTATTTTATTATTATTTTTTATACCCGCACACAAAAAAGAGTTAAGGGGTATATTAACTCTGACTGACTGAGTACGGGCATAAGTAGAGTCGCGTCCCCAGAAGCGACTCGCACGTTCCTTCTCGCTTAATTTTATTTCCGAATTTTCACCTGCCGATAAGCGCTAGAAATTACTAGTATATTTCTTCAAGTGCAGCGTTAACTCACCACGTTGCCAAGGACAACGATTTTCCAGCCCGCTTCTTGGCCGTTTCCAGGCGTCCCGACACTTGCACTTTCCAGGCGACGCTTTGCGTTTGTTTACCTTTTTTTTTGGCCGTTGCCGTTGCCCGTTGCCTGTGCTGTTGCTTTAGTTACTGACCAACAGCGAGGCATCGGACGCGTTTTCCACTCTGCGCATTAATTTTTGTGCTTGTTTTTTGGGTAATAATTTCCACATGATTAACGTGCATAAATGTATGGTTTAATAATTAATTGGCGAGTACTCGCAGCCATTCAGCCATTCTGCACTTAACGCGTGTGAGTGTCGTGCCGGCCCGGGGCGTGATATGTTTGGAAAAAATAATTGCTTTCGTTTTGCCAATCAACCAACCAACCAAGCAGCCAGGCAGGCAGCCAGGCAGGTGGCCAGACAGACAACCAATCAGGCCAACCACCAACAACTTGGCTGGTTAAATAAACAAGCATATATGTACATATATATATATATATATATATGCATGTATACGTGTGTGTATATTTTTGTAAAAATATTTGCTGGCAATTAAGGCTTTGGCCCGCAACAATTACGCGATCTATCAAACATAGCAGCGGCCAAACAGCAAAAAATAAAAGGTGAGAGACAGACCAGAGGGGGAGAGACAGAGAGAGAGACAGAGAGAGAGAGAGAGACCAGAGAGAGAGAAAGAGGGAGAGGCAGAGATGTTGGCATGTCGGTATGTCGGGGGCAAATGTCGCTGCTGCTGCTGCCACATTGGAGCAGGCATAAATTGATGCAATATGCAAATGACATTTTAATTAGTTTATTAATCGGTTGCGGTAACTGCCGTGGCTTCAGGCGATTGAACCTGCAACTCAGCTCAGCAGGTGGCATCTCGCTTTTCCCCATCATCATCCTCATCATCCACCATCGACAAGTGAATGGCTGAGCGGCATAATTAATTTTTGAGCCGGAAAACCTGTTAATAGACGTTTGTAATCTTACCTTACCATCATTTCTCTTGCTTGGCTTTGCAGCCTCAGCTGCTGCGGCAACGGGACCGCAGCAATCGCAACGCGCTGCATTATTGTGCGGCGCAGGACCTGGAGCAGACAAGAGACCTCGTGGCGGCGGCCAGCATCGCCATCGCAGCCCCCGAGCTGCTGGAGTCCGCCGATGAGGATGGCTTCACGCCGCTTCACTTGGCTGTTATTCAGGGCAACTTGGCGATGGTCAATTTGCTGCTAGCGAACAAAGCCGACGTGAATGCGGTGGACAATGAGGGTCACTCGGTGGTGCACTGGGCAACGGGTGAGCATTACCCTACCCTACCCCCGCCCTTAATGATTCATATAAACTTTCCCCATTTTTTATCGTCTAGTTTGCGGCGAGGTGGAGTCGCTGCGCGCCGTGCTGTCCGCCGGTGCCAATGTCGCCCAGCCGGACGTGAATGGCGGCACTCCGTTGCACTATGCCGCCCAGATGTGCGGCGCCAGCTACGACAGCAAGCAGCAGTCGAGCAGCAGCAGCAGCAGCAGCAGCTCCAGCAAACTGGCCCTCGAGATACTCGGCATTCTGCTCTCCCATCCGCAGAGCAGTGTCGATGTGCAGGACAAGGACGGCAGGCAGCCGCTGCTGTGGGCTGCCTCGGCGGGCTCCGCCAAGGCGGTCATTGCACTGGTCAAGGCGGGCGCCCGTGTGGAGAGTGCCGACAAGTGGGTGGGCCGTATCCCCCCCGTAAATACTCTGATAATAAATCTGTTATTTTTCTTTCAGGGATGGACTGACGGCGTTGCACTGCGCCGGCTCGCGGGGCCACACCGAGTGCATCGATACGCTGATCAGCCTGTGCGGCGCCCCAACCGACCTCATCGACTCGAATGGCTGCACGGCGCTGCACTATGCCGTGACCCTGGGCCATGCCGACTCCACGGCCCGTCTGCTGGACCTGGAGGCGGATCCGAATCGGCAGGACCGCAAGGGACGCACGCCCGCGCACTGTGGCTGCGCCAAGGGCCAGTTCGAGACGTTGAAGCTGCTGAAGGAGCGCGGCGCGAATCTGTGGCTGCGGAACGCCAAGGGCGACCTGCCGCTGCACGAGGCAGCTGCCTCCGGGCGCAGGGAGCTGGTCGAATGGCTGCTGGCGCAGCGCTCCAAGCAGGTGAACACCACCAGCAACGATGGCCGCAGCCTGCTGCACATTGCGGCGGCCAATGACTACACGGACATGTGCAAGCTGCTGCTCGACTATGGCGCGGACGTGAATGCCGTCTATCGCAACTCCCGGGGCCTGGTGCTGACCCCCCTCGATGGGGCACTGCAGCGCGGCCATCGCTCGACGGCCAAGTTCCTGCAGGCGAACGGCGGCCAGCCCTCGAACAAGGTGAAGCTCACCACCAGGCGGGGCAATCCGTTCCACGAAGCCAATGCGGCCGATCTGGTGCGACCGCTCAAGTACGTGGAGAAGGAGGAGCTGCAGGATCTGCGCAGCTCCAAGAAGTATGTCGTGTATCTGAAGCAAACGGATGCGGGCCGAGAGGATGCCGATGCGGATGCGGTCTGCAGCTGTGCGGAGGAGACCTACCGCAAGGAGCAGCGGCTGAGGCACGTTTGCCGGCGCCACAAGCGGCGACAGCTGCGCCGGCGCACCAGCAGCTGCGGCGAGTCGAAGCACGAGAAGTGCAGCGATCTGTGCCGCTCCAAGAGCAACATCGAGATCAGACGCCGCCAGTCCAGGGAGCGCTGTGCCAGCTCCAGCGAGTGGGAGGGCGAGGAGTACGACGAGGACTCCTGCGAGAACTGCTGCTACCACAAGCGGCGCAAGGAGCGAGTGGTGTCCCGGAAGCGTTCCACGTCTTCCAGGCGATCCAAAGAGCAGCCCGACAGCGATGGGGATGAGGGCAGTGAAGACAACAAGGGCTCCAGGAAGCAGATCGAAGTGCATGGCGACCCACCAGCCAGCAGCGTGGGCAGGGAGCAGCCGGGCAGTGCCCAGCAAACGCCCCCGAACACAGCCAGCAAGGAGAGAACGTTCATCAAGTCGCCTTCGCAGAGCGCCAAGAGCGAAAAGTCCCTGCAGGCAGAGCCTCTCCAGGCGGGGGAGACGCATGCCGTGGAGCTCACAGACGAGGAGCAGGAGACGGCCAAGTCTGTGGTGACGCAGGTCGATGTGCATCACGATGCCGAGCAGCTGCCAGCCAAGTCGTCGGAGGAACTGGCACTGGAACAGCCTGCTGCCGAGGAGGTCAAGCAGGAGCAGCAGGAGGAGCAGCAGGAGCATCAGCCGGAGGCCAAGCTGCAGCTCAGCGAGGAGGAGACACAGCTGGTCTCCAAGGAGGTGGAGCAGGTCATCAAAATAGCAGCCACTGCCCTCAGCAGCGAGTCCAAGAGCTCCAGCGAAGAGCCGCCGCCAGAGGTGGCACAGAATGAAGCTGAAAAGGTGGCAAAAGACAGCCCACCCACGCCCGAGCCAGTAGCCCCTGCACCTGCCACGCCCACAGCGCCAGCTCCAGCCAGTGGCGGTGGTGGGGGGGAAACCGCAGAGCCGGAACCACCAAAGGCTGGGGAGCAGCCTTCAGAAGCAGCAGCAACTCAAGAGGAGCTGGAGCCCCCCTCGGAGCCAGCCAAGCGGCAGGTTGAGCCAAAAAAGCCGCCAACCGCACAGCAGCCACGCCCTGCCACCCAAACGCCAGCCTCAGCCTCAGCCTCAGCGCCAGTCCCAGTCCCATCTCAGTCTCCAGCTGCCTCCCAGTCCCAGTCCCAGGAGCAACAGCAGCCGCAACGGGAGCAGGAGTCGAGACGTTCGTTCACACTGCTGCCCTCCGATTCGGCGGACGATGACCCAGTGGCAGCCCCTGGGGGCAAGGCAAATGCTTCCGACGAGCCACTGGCCACTGAACGCAAATCGAGCTTCCATGTGCTGCAGAGCGACGAGTCCGTGGGAGAGCTGGAGCGTGCAGCGCGTCCCGGACGGAGCGTCGACTACAGCAACAGCAACAGCAACAAAAACAATCAAGTCTTTCAAGTGGTGGGGGATGGGAGCGCAGCGGGCAAGCTGCCCAGCGCCGCGGAGCTGGAGCAGATGGACTACGACTATGAGGAATACGACGAGGAGGAGTACGATGACGATATCGATGGCATTGACCCAGAGCACGACAGTGCACTGCGTCGCTTCCTGAGCACTGGCCATCGCCATGGCGTGGCTGGTGCAGCAGCAGCAGTAGATGGAGCCACAGCCACAGCCACCAGTGATGCAACTGGTGCCGCTGATGCGCTGGCCAGCGGTCGCAAGCGTCGCCTCAAGAAGCGCGTGCGCAGCGGAGCGAAGACGCGCAGCAACTGGAAGAATGCGCAGGAGACGCGCGACGGCGGCACTGGCGCCCTGACCAGCAAGGATCAGGACTCGGGCTTCGAGCCCAGTCCGCGCGCAGAGCGTAGCAAAATTCCCACCCTGCGGTCCGCCCACACGGCCATGCCACGGCGCCCCATATACGCCACGCTCGACGGTCGCTCGTGCAGCAGCCGCCTGGAGAATCGCAAGCCCGGCGATAAGGGAGCCTGCGACATGGCCGCCGTCACGCGCTCCATTCAGCGCAACATTCGTAGGTGAGTGAGTGGCCATCAGAGCTGATGGCCAGGAGGAGGATTCATTCATTTAAATTAATCTTCAGGCAGTTAGTGGCGAGGCTGCCTGCCTTTTCGGCTGTAGATTTATTTACTTGATGCTTGATTTTAATCAACTTGAATGTCCCACCGCTCCTTCGCATTGTATCACGCGCACAGCTCTCGGTGGCCTTTTAATGTAATCAAACTGCCTGCAGCCAGCCACCCGACCATGTCCCTGCCCCTGCCCCTGCCCCTGCCCATGAACAGGCCGCCTTAAACTTAATTTAGTCAGGGATTTAATAGCCTGGACAACATTTCTCATTTCTTGCCTTTTTCTCTTTTTTTTTTTTTTTTGGCGGGTGTCTGTGGCGTTGCCATTGTTGTGCTCGCTCGCTGGTCAGTAAATAAATTGGCCGGCTTCCGTTCGCCATAAAAAAGCGCGCTTTAAAGTTATTATAATGCGGTTAAAGGCAATAAACGCGGCATTAATGTTCATTTCCCCAGCTACTTGAGCATGAACTATGACCCCACTGAGCACCCCAGCTCGCAGCCGTAACCGTAACAGGTGGCGGCGGGGGTCTGACACAAATGAATTGGCCTCATCGTCTACACCAGTGACAAGTACTTAATACAATTCTCGCTGCTGTCCAGCGTGACTTCTTCTGCTTGTCGGCCGACTTAATTAGACCACAATTTAATGTATTTGCGTTGATTATTTGCCGCCCCAAAAGGGGTCAAGCGATTAGAGCAGAACACAAAACGTAAATCATAATTAGGTCAGCGGCAAGTGGCAAGTGGCAAGCAGCGAGCCTGTAGCCTCCTTCACTCTCTACTAATATCCATTCTGATTTACGAACGCCCGCCAAATCTCGTCCGGCCTTGTCATTAGCCCCAAATGCTCATTTCCGGCAAAGAGTTGCGCATTTTAATTAGGTGCACAGACAGAATACTGGACCAGGGACCAGGGACGAGAGACCAGGGGCACAGCTCCCCAAGGAGCGGCACACCTGCGGTGTGTTTGCTTTGTTTATGCAGAAACTTGAGCAAAATATGAAAATGAGGAGCCAGAATGAGCCAGGCAGAGCAGGCAATGGCACTGGGGCGGGAAAAACCAAAGAGAAAACCATTCAGTCGCTGGGAGCGGCTCCGTTTACAACTTGCTAATGCTAATTGTAAATGGAATTAGTGCAGATTAGCGGGGAAATTTTTGGAAGAGGCGGCAAGGCAATTACCATTTGTGTTCGCCCGCTTGTACCGGAAATCCTTTCGTCCCACCCCAAGGCTGGGCCATAAGCCGCCACTAGCGATGAACAGAACTGAACCCAACTCTGGCCTAGAGCCGTGCGCTCTGCTCGGTAATTTAATTTTTGTCATTTGGTTTGGGGGCGAATCAATACACACGCTGCTGCCACGAGCCAGGAGACAGGAGCCGCTGCTGCTGCTGCTGCTGCCTCAAACTTAAAAGTCAATTGTATTTATTTAATGTATTTGCATAAGCCATGCCACACACACACACACACACACACACACAGAACTTAATTAAAAAGCGTAAGCTGACTTTTATTAATTTTGCTAATCTGCCTTGTAGCCCCATGAATAAATTTGCAAACATTCAAACCGAAAACCAAAAAAAAACAAAAACCAAAACAAAAAGGAAAAGCAACTGAAACCGAAACTGAAACTCTGTTCTGCTCTGCTCTGGCAAACAAAAGCAAAGGCAGAAGCAAAAGCAAAAGCGAAATTTTCGGGTGGCGAGCGCATTTCATAAATAATTCTTTCCACTTGACTAATGAAAATATTTAACTCGGCTGTTTGCATAAGCCGGCAAACTGTAGCCGAAGCAGCCAAAGAACAAGAACAAGAAACAAGCAACCATTCGCCCATTCGCGCTTCATGTTAAGGTTTCGGCAAATACGCACCATGCGGCGTATACGCAATGCACGAGACACCGAAAGTCAAACAAGTGTCCCTCCCACCACAGCAGCCCCACAGCAGCCTCTCAGAGCCGGCAACTTTGCCAGAACAACTTCCTCAACAAGTCGACAGAGTGAGTCAATTAATTCTCGAAAAACACACAGAAGGAATCTGAAAGGGAAGAAAAAAAAAAGAATATACAAAATAGAATTTACGTTGGGTCTGAAATGAAGTAAAAAGTGAATCCACAATCCATAGCTCCCAGTAGAATATTCCCCACTCCCACTCCCATTCCCATTCCACTCCCATTCACTCCACTCCCAATGCAAAGCATTCCCATGAAAAGTGTGTAAATAGAGATTTTGTTTTTCATTTTATTCGTATATATTTTGCATTCGCATGCTATTTTCCATGGACCCTCGACTTGGACTTGGAACCTGGTGGCTGGCTGGCTGCTGGCTGGCTGGTGGCTGGTCCTGCTGCCTCGTCCAACTTTATTTTCCCTGCTCGCTTTTGGCTCCAAAGAGATTAAAATTTTATCTGACGCATAAATTAAACAAATAACTTACCGGCGCTGCGAGTGTGTGTGTGTGTGTGTTGGGGGTGTGTGTGTGTGTTGGGGGTGTGCCGTGCCGTTGTGTGTCCCAGCAGCACAGGTGAGATTTGGGATTTATAATGTGCGCTCACGTAATTGACATTGTTAAATATTTGGATTTCGTTACGTTGGCTGCGGGGGCGGGGGGAGGCCGAGTTTATCGGCTATCCTTGTGGATACATTTTTCGGTTGGCGACTGCCCCCTCGGGCCGTGACGCAATTAGGCATATTTTTGGGCCGATTTTAAGCGTTGATTATGCAAAACTATCCAGCACTTAATTAATCTGCAATATGGCAAATCAAATACCTTTTTTTTTTTTCGAACTTAAAGTTTATTTTGACCTCTGCTGCAATGCTTTTTTGGAGTGTTTCGAGATTCCAGAGCCACTTGGAGTACCGCCAGACGATAAAGCGCCCTCTCTCCCTCTCTCAGTGGGTCTGCTCTCGGGCCAGCACTTGGCAAAGTTTGAAGCGGGAGCTCAAGAACATAGCCGTAATGAAAAATGAAGCGGAAAAGTTTTTTTGGGAACCCAAGAAGCCAAGAAAGCCGACAGTGAGCGGCGGGCGACTTTCAAATCAGCCGCAGACTTTTCGCTGGCTGGCTGCGGCCATCGATTTTCAGTGGAGAGAAATAAGTCGCACCTGGAAATCTGCTCAAGCAGAGGCCCTGTATGCAGGCCACGTGCAGCAGCCGCCGCCTGCCTGCCTCTCTCGTCCGGCCATTAACACTTGGCAAAAGGTTCTGCCTCGCTTTTGTTATTTGTGGCGCACAAATTGCCAGCGGGCAGGCGGGTGGGCGGTGTTTTTTGTTGTTCCTGTTGCAACTTGTGCAGCGCTTAATTTCTTTGCATTTTGTTGTCACTGGCGTTGTCAGCGCTCCAGCAGAGCCAAGCAGAGCCGAGCCGAGCCCTGTGCCTAGGCCTGTGCTGACTTTGCCGCCTGGCGGGCTTTCCACTTCATCCACTTTGGTGGTGCGTGCACTTTTTGCCTGTCACATTTGTGTCACAAACAGGAAGACGTGGGCTGGGGCAGCGACTGTAGCTGGGACTGCTGCTGGTGCTGGGGCGTGGCTGTCAGTCGTTGGGTCGGACAGCCTGTGTTGGTCGGTCGCTGGAAGCGCTGCAGCGGCAGTTGCAGTTGCAAATGTAGCACACAAAATCAACGCCGCACAAGAAGAAAATGAAATGAAAGTTGTACTAAGCGAACGTAAAGCGGAAACGGAAATCAGTAGCAGTGGCAGCGACAGCGACAGCAGAAGGGAAATGCAAAGGGGAAAGCGAATGGCAGGAGGTGCGAAGCAGAAGAAGCGGCTGCAAAAAAATGTGCCAAGGACATGGCATGGCATGGCAAAAAGTATTTGCACAGGCGGGTGGCGCAGGCACAAAGAGAAAGACTTGCAAACAGCTCAAGCGCAGCCGAATGGCGCAGCCAGAAGCGAGGGAGGCGTAAAATTGAAAAGCGCTTCGGCAAACAAGCCTTGGCGATGGCTATGGCGATGGCTATGACGACCAAGATAAAGATAAAGATGGAAATGGTGATGGTGATGAAGATGAGCATTGGAGATGGCGCTGATGCTGATGGAGCCTGCAGATGACCGCAGCATGAAACAGGAGAGGCAGCGGCAAAACAAGCGGAAGAAGTGGGATGATGATGGCCACCAGCAGAGCGGCACAAGACTCTGGAGCTGTGCTGGCCGCTTTGAAGCCGCTTCGGGGGATTCGGGCTGCTCTCGGGCTCTCGTCCAATTTATTACGCAGTTTTTGGCTCACAAGCATTCTTACCTTGGTGGCTGGGCCGGGCCGGGCCCTCTTGCCATTTATTAGCTGGCACTCAGCTCTGCCGCGGTATCCCTGGGCAGCCACTGGGTGGGTTGGGGCAGCGACCAATGAACTTTTGTTTCAAAGTCAAATTGTTTTGCATAAATTCGCGTAGCGCAGCCAAGTGGCGAGCAGTGTCAAGCGCTGCCAGCCTTACCGCTCGCTGGATAAACAGCAGGCTGCCTCCTGCTGCTGCCTTCTGCTGCTGTTGCCTGCCTCTTGCTGCTGCTGCCTGCCTCCTGCTGCCGCCTCTCGCTCCAAGTGCACTCGACAAATTTGCTTAGTTTTTTCGGTGAAATGCATTTCTCTGACGATGACGATGACGCTGAGGATGCGGTTGACGATGCCGTCAGTTGATTTGGAACAAAGTTGTTGGCCTCCGAGCACGGTTTAAGGAACAACTTTCGAGTGCTTAAAGTGCTGCACATTCCATGCCCACCCCCATCCTGCTCCACCCTCGTGTTTGCCTAATTTTTAATATAATTTCTAATAACATTTTACGGCATAGCGGCAGGCAGGCAGGCAGGCAGGGAGGCATGGAGGGTGCTGGCCCCGTTGCTGGCTTTAATTTCACTTGAACTCTGACTGCCTTTCGCCCGCTCAATTATTAATAGAATTTTTTGCGCGTACGCACTTTAGTATTTTTGAGGAAATTTTTAATAATACGATGCCTTTTATTGCTGCCGCGCATTGTCTGGGCGGGCCGCTGATGGTGGCTACAATGGGTGGTGGGACGGAGGTCTTTTGTGGGGTGCACAGCAGGCGACTGTGCCTTTGTTTGCCTCGCGAAATATCAAAATGACAATTTACGTACATTTGCCAGCATTTATTTTGTGTGCTCGCAAAGCTCCATGAGGCTAAGGCTAAGGCTGAGGCTGCTGCTGAGGCTAAGGCTGAGGCTGCTGCTGAGGCTGCTGCTGAGGCTGCTGCTGAGGCTGCTGCTGAGGCTGAGGCTGCTGCTGAAGCTGATGCTCATACTGATGCTGATTCCAACTGAGCATGGAACAGTGGATGGCACAGGCAGCCTACACCGATAGAAAAAAGCCCTGAAATTTTAATATTTTCACTTAGATTTTAATATTTATGCCATTGATTTTCATCCAAGAGTGGTTGTATTAAAATTGAATATTTTTCACTTAAATTTTGATATTAATATAGAAATATTTAAATTTAATATGTTTCATATTTAAATTTAATATATTCATATTTAAATTTAACATGTTTCATATTCAAATTTAACATGTTTCTTATTCAAATTTAATATGTTTCATATTTAATGTTAATATGCTTCATATTTAAATGTTATATATTAATATTTAAATCTAATATGTTTCATATTTATATTCATTTTTAACTAATCGATTATTATTTTGCCTACGCGTACTACATTCAAGTCCAAATTCACCAAGTTAAAGTTTGCAACTAAAAATAATCGCAACATGAGTAGAACTGCATTGGTTGTGATTATGCCCCTGCGGTAAGATAATTTTACTGTGTATTCAAGGTTGCAGCAGCGTGAACCAGTTGGGAATTCGAGGGACATAAAACAAAATAATATAAACATATTTCAAATAAATACAAAAAATATTTAATTTCATTTAATATGGAATATTTAAAATAAAAAGTTTTCCATTTGATTTTAAAACAAAAATTTTGAAATCAAGTCATAATAATATTCCATTTAAATATGAAACATATTAAACTACAAATTTAATATATTATAGTTATTTTGAAGTGTTTTGTATTTAGATTAAAGATTAAAAAAGCATTTTTAATACATTTATATTTGAATCAAAGTGAATTCTATTAAATTTTACTATGTTTGTATTTAAAAATGGCATTTTAAATTCAAATATGATTGTAGTTATTATACCCGTACTCAAAAAAGAGTTAAGGGGTATATTCGATTTGTGGTAAAAGTGGATGTGTGTAACGCAGAGAAGGAAACGTTTCCGACCCCATAAAGTATATATATTCTTGATCAGCATCAATAGCCGAGTCGATATAGCCATGTCTGTCTGTCCGTCTGTCTGTCTGTCTGTCTGTCTGTCTGTCTCGATGAGCGCCTAGATCTCAGAAACTATAAGAGCTAGGGCAACCAAATTTGGTTTCCAGACTCATGTGATATCCCACTGCTACAAGTGTATTTCAGAATTTCGCCCCGCCCCCTTCCGCCCCCACAAAGGACGAAAATCTGTGGCAGGCACAATTTTAAAGATACGATAAAACTAAAAACGCAGTATCGTAGAGAATGCCCATATCTACCAGACTGCTGAATCTGAATTAGATCGGATCATAATTATAGCCAGAATGAAGAAATTAATTTTCAGTTGCTTCCCCTGCCCCCCCCTCCCACAAACGACAACGAAACTCATTTTCCTTCTCGCTCGCACACTCTGCCGCGTTCAGTGCGCGAGCAACCCCTAGCGGAAAAGATGTAGAATATGAATAGTACATCTATAATCTACATGTTAGATGTAAAATATACATTGTAGATGTAGATGTAGATAACAGATGTAGCAAAAAAATGTAATATGTAAAATTTTTTTTTTAATTCTAAATTCTGAAAATCATATGCTCAAAAATGTAAATACTGACTGAGTACGGGTATAAGTAGAGTCGCGTCTTTAGAAGCGACTCACACGTTCCTTCTCGTTTTTACTATGCCTTTTTTCTATCAGTGTACTTTATTGCCTTCATTGCCTTATTGTTTCTACGTACATTCGCAGATATTACATGGAACGAAAGATCTTTCAGCATCTGCTGGAGCTGAAATCGCTGCAGATACGCTCCAGCAAGCTGAACGAGGCGGTGCTGGTGAAGCGGGCCGTCGACGACTACCACAAATCGTGTGTGCTGCTGAACGGCGAGACGGGCACCCGGCTGCGGCGCTACAACTTCAGCGAGTACACGTTCAAGAACTTTGAGCTGTTCCTGTACGAGACGCTCAAGGGACTCCAGAAGCCGGGCACCAACAACTTTCAGAACATCAACGACGTCTACGAGGAGGTGGGGCCAGCATTTTGTTACGCGTCCCTTTTTTGGTGGACACTCTCTCACACAGTTCTCTCTGTTGCAGGCGGAGCGACGTCTCAGTCCGGACTACAATGCCTACGAGAAGGCTCTGCAGTGCACCACGAAGACGCATCGGTGCCTGCATGCGGCGCACGCCTACACGGGCATTCCCTGTGCCGCCTACAGTAAGCTCTTGTCTCTCTTGTCTCTTTGTCTCTTGTCTTCCGCTTCTCAGTGCTGCTGCTCCCCGAGGGCTTTAAACGACTGTGTGTGTGCAAGCGTGAAAAATGGCACCACTCCAATGGCATTCTGCGAATGGCACTCCGAAGTGAAATCGCTTGGCCAGGAGCTTGGAAACACTTTCACTGCCAGCTCTCGCGCCCTCGCTGCCAGCAGTGGGTCAAGCGTTGGGTCGCAGCGGACATGCCGGACACTCGAATTCAAAGCAAATGCCGCCCCAGTTGCCCCCCAGGGCCCACATAAAAATATAAATCCTAATTACGAGCAGTTTATTCAGTGCGCGAGGCAAATTAAAAAATACCCCCAGACCAGACCAGACCGCCTTTCTGGCTTTCAACATTTATTACATCTTTCACTCGCTCACTCGCTCGCTGCGGATGGATGGCTGGATGGATGCTTTCGCCTTCAAAAGGATGCGTCCGGCTTATGCCAAATTAAAAACGCATTTATTTGTGCCCCGGCTGTGCTGCTCCTTCTTTTTCCTGCCTGCCCTGTGCTCCTTGCCACTTCCTGCTGCCGCTGCTGCTTCTGTTTATATACTGTTATTTTGTGGAAAGTAGCAGAAAGTCGAGTAGCAGGCAACACTAATCCCCAGCTGAGCACGCGCTCCTGATCCGGCCACCGAAAATGGCTTGTGAGCGACGAGTGCCAGCCAGCAGCAGCTCCAGCTGTGGCAATTGAGGCGCCAACTCCAGCTCCAGCTACAGCTCCTACACCCATTCCCTTATTAGTTTTTACGATTGCATGCAATCTAGCAGAGTGTTGTCCATGCCACCTGACAGGAGGCCCCTCTGACAGCCCTGGCAATTCATTGGAGTGGCGGTGCTGGTGCTGGTGCTGGCAATGATCGCCCTTTGATCATTAATCTAATGTGTCTGTCTGCCCATTCTTGATATTGCAGTTCCCATGATGAATCACCACACGATGCCCAAGTTTGGCTTTGGACCCTACAAGAAGACCGGCAGCGTGAGCAGCTTCTTTCTGCCCAAAATACTCACCAGTGGACGTGCCTCCAGCGGACGGGCTGGCGGTCTGGGCGGCAGCGGCGATGGCGTTGGCGCTGGCAGCCGTTGCAACCACAAGGTGGCCCTGGAGCTGTCACATGGCAAGAATAAGCAACTAATTTCACTGCCAGCGGAAAAGTTGGACAGCAATAAACGCTATTATGTGACGTTCACTGTTAAGGACTCCTCGGGGCATGGCAGTGCCATCGAGTCGCACAAACAATACCAGAAGCAGCAGCACCACCACCAGCAGAAGCAGCAGCAATGCGGGAATACTGCGGGCGAGCCAGGAGGAGGCGGAGGCAAGTAGCCCTCCCGCCGTATACGTAATGTGGCATACAGTCAGTGCGTACAGTCAGCCCTCGTCACTGGCCTCGGCCCCTCATCCTGCCCCAGAGTCCACTGCTGCTGCTGCTGCTAGCGTTGTTGCTGGCAAATGCATTAAAACAATGCCATTGCAACATTTTGTGTCGCTGATGCTGCTGCTGCTGTTGTTGTTGCTGCCACTGTTGTTGTGACCACCCGTTGTCCGCTGTCCGTTACCGTTTTTTTTTCCCCCGTTTGTTTCCTGTGCCGCTGCTGGCGGAAAACCATGGAAAAAATCAGAGGTTAAGCAGGGCATATTAGACGCTGCTGCTGCTGCTGCCCCTCCTGCTGACTGGCTCTGCCCAGACCTCTTCCGGGGTATTTGCCAGTCGATTCGTGCGCCGTTGCTGCACCCTGCTGCACTTTAAGATGGCCAACTGCTGATAATGGATGATGGCGCTGCTCTGCGTCTGTCAGTTGAAGTTGTCACGCCAGCAGCGTTGCATGCACCAGGAGCAGCAGCAGCAGTAACGGCAGCTTAAATTATGTGCTCCGCCAACCCCGGGCCCGTGTGAGTGCTGTGCTCTGCTCCTCCATTCTGTTTTGTTTTGGTTGTTTTTTTTTTATATTTTTTTTTCCGTTTGCTTGTTTGTTTGTCTGCTGGCGCTGCCGCTGCGCTTTTATTTCAGTTTTTCATTATCATTTTTTGTGTCGTTGTTGCTGTGTGCTGTGGGCAAGGTGGTGAGGGGGTGGCCGCTACTGCTGCTGCTGCTTGGGATGCTTCTAATGCCACAGATAAGCGTTGTTATTAACGCTCGGCTTACCAGGACTAGGCGACAGGCGTGAGGACATGCCGCCCATCGTCGCTTTTGTAGTCAAACAGTACAAAAAGCAGCAGCAGGGAAAAAACCAGACCAGCGAAGGCTAACCAGGAGCAGGAGCAGCAGAGCAGCAGAGGAGCAGTACCAAGAGCAACAAACACGGAACAAAAGCAAAAGCAGCAGCAGAAGCAGATACAGAATCCGAATCAGAATAAGCGAATGAATAAATGTAAAATATGTACCGTGCATTTCTTTGGCATTTCAACATTTTTACTTTATTTGCAATTTTATTTACTTGTCTGCGCTTTCGCGACCCTGCCAGGGTGCTGCTACCCCTACCCCACCGCTCTGCTGCTGCTGGTGAGGAGCCAACCATTGAAGCCGTTGTTTGTCTGTTTGCTTACTTTCGCGCTGAGTGCATTGTAAATGGAGAATAATTGCATTGCATACAAAAAGCGTCGCGATTTTTAAATTGTATAAAACATCGAGGAGCGGCTGAGGAGGAGATGGGGCTGCAGCAGCAACAGGAGCAGCCTTAAACTGATTTCATTTCATTTCATTAAATATATATCAAACTATAAGTAATGTAATGCATAATACATATCGCATTTAAAGAGTTTACGCAGTAGATCTAAGTCCATGGCAGCTGTCGCTAAATAAATGTTGAAAATGTCAAAATTGAAACATGGATTCTGATTCTATACACTAACAAACACACACACACACACAGCCACACAGCTACACAACCACTCAGCCGCGCCAAAACGTGGCCAAAACAATAGCGGCAGGCTACACATGTCCTTGGCATGGATTCCATTCCGGGCTCGAGATGATTGCTCGCTTTGCAGGCGCCGGTATCATTATTTCAGCATCTGCCCAGAGACGCGCAAACAAGCTGGCAAACAAAACAAAAAAAAGCACACCCACACACACAAAAGGAGAACCAACATTTGTACGGCATTCCACGGATTTCTGCAGCCCCTTCCCCGCTCCACAAAGTGGGCCGTGGATGGCATTCCTATGGCTGCTGAACGGCCATGAATGTCAGCGGAGGCAGCCTGACAGCCTGCGCCGAGTGGCAGCTACAGCTGCAGCTGTCAGCGAGCGATCGCAATAATCGCTGCACTCAATCGATGCCAGTCGATAGTCGATGATGCGATGGCCTTATGAGAAGACATCCCAGCAGCCCAGCTGGAGCGGGGCCTTTGTCGAGCTGCTAATTGAATTCCAAACTGGCTTTTATGATCTCGCAAGTGGCGTCGAGAGTGTCCATGTCCATTTTCGTGTCCGTGTCTGGGCCAGTCTGTGGGGTGGGGGTGTGGGTGTGGGTGGGTGGTTCGCTTGTGGCATTAATATTTCAACAGCCCTGTCCGGGCTAAGCATGCCTCCGTGAGCAGTGACAGGCCGACTTGGACCGGCCCAGCCCGGGCCTCTATGAATGGCCAACGATTTGGCCCCGTCGACCGGACAGCGTTTAATTTATTTAAGCACGTTGAAGGCTAAGCAGTCACTCTCGGTCCGTGGCATGCCAGAAGCAGGGGGGCAAGCGACCCAGGGATTCCATTTCGATTTGCGCACTTGAGGGCAAATCTTCGGATTTATGTGGCTTTATTTTTAGCTGCGATGCTGCAAAGTGCGTTTAGGGTGTGGTGTGGTGAGGGTGTGGCACTTGAAGTTCCTGGCAATTGCCACAGAAAGTTGCAGCCAGCGAAAGCGGTGTGCCAGTTGCCACTTGCCAGTTGCCAGCCATAAAAAATGACAACAAAAGCAACAGAAACGAAGGTGAGCTGGAAAGTAGAGTGAAAAGTAAATCCGCACGTGCCAACCCAAATTACAGAGAATACTTCGGCAGAGGATACAAATACATACTGAAATGAGAAGGAACGTGCGAGTCGCTTCTGGGGACGCGGATCTACTTCTACCCGTACTCAGTCAGTATATCGTATATACTAAATACATGTTTAAGGTTATAATTTTTTAAAATTTAAGAATTAAAAAAAATTTTACATATTAAATTTTTTTGCTACATCTACATCTGTAGATGTAGTCCACATATACAATGTATATTCTAAATGTAACATGTAGATTATAAATTTACCATTTAGATTCTACATCATCTCCGCTAGAGGGCGCTAGCGTACATAACGAGGCAGAGTATGCGAGAGAGAAAGAGAATGATTTCGACTCTATTTGGAGAGGGAGGGGAAGAAACTGAAAACTAATTTGTGGTGATGGTAGGGTCTGGTTGGCAGTTTTGCAAGCCATTTCAAGGTGCAATTTTAAAGCAGTTGAAGTTGAACGAATGAATTGGAGGAAATGTTCCCTTGTTGAGGGATCTCAAAATAAATTCCATGATTTTAAAGGTGTATCCAATAACGAAAATAAAGACCTCACCTTGAATTAATATTCCCATTATATGCTCATTTCGTCAACCTCTACTTCCCCATTCCAACAACAACAAATACAAATTTCACACTGCTTTAGCTCATTCCACTGTATCTCTCGTGTCTCCTTCTAAGTTTCGATTCTCTTATTTCTGCCAATTTCCTTTTGCATTGCCCGCCTGCTGCTCGCTCTTTTACTCAGCCGCTGATTGAGTTTCTTCGAATGCCTTGAGTGCCGATGGCACACAACATACACACATACACACTCTGCAATAGCAAAGCCACGCTCGGCAATGCTCTCTTTACTCTTTGCCCACGCATGCGGTCAATGCTCTCGCGCTACCTGCAGTAGGAGTAGAGAATCATAGATAATACATCGCGATGATGTCATCGCAGCGCCCTTTGCTTAAAAGTTTTAGGTTAAACCCTTGTCCGAAATCTGACCGCAGCAGCACCTCCAATTCATAAATAGGTCGCAAAATCAGCAACAACAACACAAACAAACACACACACACACACACACATTGCAATAGTAAAGCCACTCTCATAATTGCGCTCTTTACTCTTCGCCCACGCATGCGGTCAATGCTTTCGCGCTGCCTGCATAAGGAAGAGAGAGAACCAAAGATGATCTCATCGCAGCGAGGTTTGCATAAAGTTTTGTCCAAAATCTTAGCGCAGCAGCACGTTCGTTGCGTCGCGCTCCTAAAAATACTTAAAAATCGTAAAATAACTACTAAAAACCCGTAGAAGTCGCGTTCAATATGTATTGCTAATTGCAAAGTACAAAAAATAGCCCGAAAAAGCCTGAAAATTAATTTTTTTTATTGTGAGAAGCCTGAAAAGTGTATGGGGAGAGCCAAAGGACAAGCTAAAAGTTATCGAAAGATCGCAGCATTAGTGAAAATGATAAAATTCAGTGTTCTAGTAGCAGTGAAAAATGGGAAAAAAACGCCGACCTGCAAAAAGTCTTTTGCGTCGCAGCTGTCGCGCTGCTTCCAGCGCTCATTTCGAGTGTGCATGGAAACGCAAGAAGAAATAACGGAATCATTTAAAGCTGTTGTCGTACAGGATGGTCATCGGACGGCAAGGAGGGAAAGAAGGATCGCAAAAAGTGAGTGAAAGTGAAAAGTGAAAGCGCTTGTGAAAACAAAACAGTTAAATGCACCGCAAGGACTAAATAAAGGAGCGGAATAAGAAATACAGCGCAAGTGATAGTGATAGTGAAAAGTGAAAAAAAAACCGGGCTGCCAAAATTCTATTGCGTCGCCGCAGCTGTCGCGCTGCTTCCAGCGTGGAAACGCAGAATTAAAGGAATAGCGAAATCATATTATACTGTTTTCTTACAGGTGTGCAAGGAGGAAAGGATTCCAAAAGCTGTTGTCGTACAGGATGGTCATCGGACGGCAAGGAGGGAAAGGATTTCAAATGCTGTTGTCGTACAGGATGGTCATCGGACGGCAAGGAGGGAAAGGATCGCAAAAAGTGAGTGAAAGTGAAAGCGCAAGTGAATGAAAACAGTTGAATGTACCGCAAGGACTAAAGAAAGGAGCGGAATAAGAAATTGAGCGCTAGTGAGTGATAAAAGTGAGTGAAATGCTGCGATCAAGTGAGTGCAAGTGCAGGAGGGAGTGAAATGAGGCAATTTGGGCAATAAGTGAGTGTTAGAGCGCGAGTGAAAAACGAAATAAAATATAAATAGCAACTACAGACAGCGGAAAGAGAACCGGACCTTCACTGAGAGAGGTTTAAGATCGGAGAAGCATAGCACTGCTTTTTTTTCAATCGAGCATTAGTAAATTGCAAGGTAATTCTACACGAGACTCTGCACTATATTATATATTACTTTGCACGTTATATTAATACAATATTTTATACATTTTTATTCATACAAAATTACTATATTTATTTCTAGACCCTCAGAGCGGAGGATCATAGCTCTTTTTTGATTTCGTCAGAAGAAAGAAAGGAGAAGCATTAGTGAAATTCAAGGTAAACCTATTCTAGACTCAACATTTCTAGCATATCCATATTTTTGCTGGCCTTAGGGAAGGCCGGCGGAGCCCTAAGAGTTTTCTAATATTATCTGGTATTTTTTTATATTTTCTAGAATTTTAGAATATATTTTTAATATGTTTTCAGATATTTTTCTGGTATTATTTCTGATTTGTTTTTTCTAGTTGACCACAACATTTAGGAAACAATTATAGAACTTTTTAATTGAGTTCTTTCAAACCGTTATGTGTTGCCTCCTGCCTTCTGTCTCATCCTGTGGCAATAAGAAAAGTAAGAAGAAGAAAGAAAGCGTCTTTGACACACTCTCCGCCTCCGCCTTCCGCTCCCACACTGCCAACGACCACACAATGCAGATTCCATGTAACATTTTCAAATTAAGCTGCGGCTTCATAATGTCCAGAAATTCGTGAGGTTCTCAGGTAAACCACC